TTAGATTGTGGAAATAGTCTGTCCTTGTTTGCTCTATTCTATTTCAAACATGAATGTCAGCTTTAGCTCTCTAATACTGGCTTCATTTTCCAAGCTAAGCTGAGGAATAGCGAGAATCTCTCTAAGAAACATTGCTTTTATCTACTTGGGTTTCTGACCTTCACGTCTCTACAAGCTATCTCCCCTGGTAATATTGTTTGCCATGTCTGCTGTGCTGCAGAGGCACTATGCAAACCTAGAAAGCTAACCTGTCCACCCCACCGCTGCTTGTCAGCACTTGTCTATGATCACCTAGCTGGCATGGCTGCGATGCAGGTATGCACTGGCCTACCAGCAGCTGTCAGTGTCACACAAAGCCATCAATCCACATCTCCAGCACTGTCATTCCTGACAGGGCTCTGTCAGCCACAACCAGTCAGCCAGCTGCACGGAAATATGTCAATTTAGTTTAGCATGCCACACTAATAGACACTTGAATTTGGAAAAATTTGCTTCGATAAACCATAGCAAAAAAAACAAACAAACCAAAATAAAACTTGCCAAGTGCAGAGAAAGCACCATGACAAAAACATGTAAGAATTATAAAATCAATAAAATAGATTTTAATAAACCATCTAAAAATAGATCTTTTTTGTGGATGTGAATCTTAACTGTGTATTATGTAACAACTGTTATAAATCCACTTTTGAAAGTTATTCTGCATCAGCAATATGAGCTGAAGCAAAGGGAGACTGACTTGAACAAAAAAAAAAAAATAAATAAAAAAATTAGAGCATATAAACACTGCAGTCTGAAACGCATTCAACCCACCGAACCTTACTAACTTATTTTGCTGAAATTTAGTATGTGATGCTTTTCTGAGAGGAGCCCACTTTTATTTATGTAAACACACACTATTTCATCCTGAAAGTGTGAAAGGTTGACAAGGAGGATGCATAAATAGAAGCTGCAGGCCCATCATTGTCAACATGCCAACTGCTCTCTGCAGAGAATCTTAGAGACATGGAGACCTCATTCTAGCAGGCCTTGTTGAACGGGTAAAATGCTTTAACAATTATCAGCACAATTATATAGCTCCAAAAAAAAAAAAAAACACACAAAACACATTAATCAAACAATGCAATGACGCCACATAGGGCGTTTAAAAAATAGGGATAGAATATGTGAGATATGCAACCTCCACATGCTGTCTGAACAACGACAATATTAGTGAAGATGATTCTAATATGTGTTCGGTGGCTGTGTTATGACACACACACTGCCACAGCCTATTTTCACACTGTAATATTCCCGCTGAGCAACCCACTGTATGGATCCGCATTTTGCTGGTGTCTGCAAGCTGTTGCAGGTGGCTGGGTGGGCTCTAATTCAGTCTGTAAAAGAATAATCACTTTGCAAATAAAACGTAATCATAAAAACAGCAGCTGTGAAGGCTCTGCGTGTGTTTTTAGGCATTTAGTAATGCTGTCCAGAACAATTTTAATAATCGATTTTACAAAAACCTAGTTTTCCAATCAAATATTTCTGTCTTGAGATCTCATCTCAGTACATTAATAAAGTTGGATAACATTTAATGTGTGTAGTCAACTGAGGTAGTAGACAGTTGGTACACTCGTAAAAGGTGCTGTAAAGCTTGCAGGTTACAACCAATATGTTTCTTAACTTTATATTCTTCAGCTTGGCAATTAAAATGTATTTTCAGAGGTCCATGAGGTCAAGAGGACTTTTACACAAGCTGCTGCGGCTATTCACATACTGAGAACTATAGTAGGCTTAAGATTGGTTTCTTTGGTCTAAGAAAAGTCTGCAATGCATGGAAAACACAAAGTTTTTCTCCATTTCTCCATGCTACCTGGGAGACATGCCTGGACTAAATAAAATGTTCCACTAACTTTTATTTCCTGGTTGTTTGTTTATTCTTATGTGCCTTACGCCAAGCTGCATTGTGCTCAAAGAAGCATGTGCGCTTCCCGGCTCTGTTCAAAGCTTAGTGAATTTGACTGGGGTACATAGTTGACATGTGGGTTCAGACACTTGCCCCAGACGGGGGCACTGACCCCGGTGATGCCAGCCGAACAGGCGGCCAGAGGGGCCTGCTACTCCTCACAAATGCCTCGGAGTGGGAAAGTCCAGATGCTCTACCATGCTCCGGCTCCTGACACACTCAGCATGCTGCTTGTGACATTGTTTCATATGCTGCAATAAAATATATCCTGCTGCGTTGAACCATCTTCCCCTGTTTCAGACAGAGGCATTAGTTTGGGTTTATTCTGCAGTGTTCAACAGTGAAGTAAAGTGATTTAGTAAATGCTGAACATCTGGTCAGTTCAAGAGACTATGGAAATCCACTTAGAGCAAATTAAAACAAATGGGGTGACTGGGTAATGATTTCATAAGCAATTTCCTACATTAGGATTTCTAATACTTCACAAAGAAAACGTGTTTAGCGCTGCACTTGTCTCATCTATCAATCATGCTTGTTGAAGAAGTATGTATGTCAGTGAGCATGGAGAGAGCATTAGCTCAAGTTTTATCAACTGGGGAATGGGATTTTTTTTTTTTTATCAGTTTCCTAAAAGCATTTGTCTGCTACCCCTCCCCCACCCTGGTGCCATCCTGGCAAAAGCTAAATGAATTAAACTCTCATTAAATATGCATTTCATTGTTAATCATTTGCAAGCGAAGAGGATTAGGTTGCAATTTGTGAAATGACATAAAATCTATCCCTACTCAAAAATAGCCTCTTGAAACTGCATTAAACACAACAGTATGATCCATCAAACAGTCTTTTAAGCAATAAAATGAGTAAATCAGTAAATCCATAAAATAAGATAAGATAAGACACTGACCTGTGCATAATTCTCATAATACAATGGCCATATGTTTACTCCATCTGCTCATGCTAATGGGTTTGCAAACATAAAAATGTACGATATTCAGGTCAATGACTCTATCTATCTATCTATCTATCTATCTATCTATCTATCTATCTATCTATCTATCTATCTATCTATCTATCTATCTATAACACTGAAGTTAAAATAATAAAAGATTAAAATTATAAAGACAAGAAAAGTTAAATCAAACTATTTTAGTGTCTCCATTAGCCTTTCAACCTTTAGAATGCAAAATTAATGTAGAAAATGTTTGGACATGATTAATTAATGGTAAGAGGAATCAAACAAGCCTCTTTGTGCTGTACACCACCTTATTTTCCTCAACCTTCACACCAAACACGACTGATGCGCCGCATGAAATATGGATGAGAAAAGTCTCCACAAATAACTAACTCTTCAAATATCTGAAACACATGTAGAATTTTAGAACAGAATGGGAGAGAAGAGCCAAGACTCTCAAGCCAAGGCTGTCAACTCGAGGGGGGGGGGAGGCACAGAAAAGAAAGTGTGCAACAGAAAAACATTGACTATCCCTGCTACTGGTGTTCCAACCAAACAGCTTAAAGACAAACTGAGAGAGAACACAAGCTGTAACAACCACCCAGCTGCTGTAACCTCCAACCTGCTCCATGCTCAAGTTCACATTCCCATCCACAGGATCCATTTAGAGAGCTCTGCATTTGATTGTCCTTTCTCTGATTACATTTCATATAGAGACAAGTACACAAAACGAATTTCAAGGTTTAATGAAAATGTGTTGTCAATGTATGTAAGAACCTTGACAGAGGGAAAAAAAAAATAGACTGGGCTTAGTACTTCTTCAATTTAAAAGTGTGTATTTCATAACTTCCAAGGTCACTGTCATCACGACAGTGCAACGAGCCAGGTGTTGGTGCGGAGGACAATCCCTGCTATCTCCAAGGCTGCAGGCAACGTTGCCCATGTCATCCTCATGTTTTATTCATGCAAGTCATATTATGGCATTCAGAAACCGAGATCAAAATCTGCTCTGGCAGAAATATTTAATATCATACCTACTTCTCTATCCTTCTCCATCTGGTTAGCTAGAATGAGAGAGAGGGGTAGACAGCCTCCTTCAGCTCAGCCATGTTGGATTATTAAAAGTGAAGCTTTCAGAGAGGTCACTGCTCAGGGAAAAAAAAAACAAAAAAAAAACTGTAGCATGCATCAATTATCTTGGAGAGTTTGTGGCATACTGAAGACTGTCTTGTCACATTTCCCAATGTGGCTGAGCTACAGAGAGGTCCTTGGCTGGTGCTGACATTTAGAAGCTGGTGAATTGTGGAAATCCCAGTCTGTTTGTCAAGAAAAAAATGGACAAAAGACCACACTGACTGCTTGCAAAGTCCTTCCAGGCTTGAAATTCCTTCTCAATGTCATTGGCATAACTAGACACAGGCATCCAGCTCTGTCACTCTAATTTTTCATGTGTGAACAACTGCAACTTACACTGATCAATACATGGTTTACTGGCATCGCTGTAGGACAATGGAGTAATTCTAGCGATTCACAGCAATAAATATCACACGCTGCCTAGGCTGGACAAATGTTGCTGCTTTTTCTTTTTTCCTCTGATGTTTTTCGCACATGACTGATGCAACACGTATAACAACATGATCAAGTTGGAAACGTCATCCTTCCCTGTAAGCAAACCACAGCTTCCTACATTTATACGTGGCCTAAATAATGTGTGTCCTTGCCATCTCTTTAAAGTCTCAAAAAAGCCATTGTACAGACAATGAAAACAATGCCATCCGATACAAAACATCTACAACATTTTCTGAAGCATTTCTGCTGTAGGAGAAAATGGACGAATAGAAAACAACTATCGACAAAGTAGCAGAACCTCTCTATTGTTTGGAAGCATTGCAACAGCTATGGAAGTAAATATGAGATTCCATCACAGTTGCAAGAAAAGACTCCCCCTGACTCCTACACATTATCCCCTTGCTTCTTGAGTTCAAATCTGTGTGAAGCAAAATTCCATGAAACCCCCTTTCCATCCTCGCGTTCTCGTTTTCCGAACTCCCCACCTGCCTCCCCATCTCCGCGTCTGTGGCGACACGGGGAGAAGTGGCATACCTTTGTTCATGTCAATCAGCTGCTTCTTCTTCTGCTGGCGCTCCTGCTTCTCGCGCTCTGCTTTCTCCTTCGCCAGCTTGGCTCTCTTGATCTTCTCCTCCATCTCCCTCTTCTTGTGGTTCTCCTTCACTGCTTCCTGATGAGGCACATACACACACAGAGAGATAAAAATCACAATCTGGCTCCTGCCACCACCACTCTTTTAGTGTCTTTACTACTGTATAGCATTCAGAGGAGGCAGCATGCCATCAGCAAATTCTTATTCAGAGAAGAGTTTGATGCTTTGAGATAAGCTACTGGAATAAACAATATATCATGCCTTGTGTATGGGTTTCTTTAATACAAGCCCATTTGTCTTCAATGCTTCTGGACTGCTGAAAGAGCAGATTTTTGGCCAGTAATAGATGAAAATAACCATTTATCCATGGATAAAAAAAGGTCAGATGATCATTACACATATGTACCATGCTAGTACATTTCCATTTACGATCACGGCGAGCCATTATTAGAGAAAAGGAAAGTGTTGCAGCAGTGTGCCCGTCTCTAAGGAGAGAAAAGAGATATCATCCACCTCCTCCTTCGTGACCAGCTGAAATGTCAGGAAGGAGTCAGAGAAAGAGAGATAATCAACAGTATGTATTCAGCCTTTACAAATTTGTCAGTTTGTTCTTGTGCCAGTAGAGAATAAGATGCAACCGTGTGACCTTTGGAGACAACAAAATGTTCTCTCATCCAAGGCCTGTGGCACAGCCCTGGACAGAGCCTGTCGTAGGTGTGAATATATGTGTGTGCAGGAGGTCACACAGTATACGCATACATGCATATGAGTCTGTGCGTCTGCCTGAGTCCACGGGCATCTGTGTGTTTCTGCTCATCCGCGGTGTTCCCCCTTATGTATGCATATGTGTGTGCGTCAGTAAGTGAAGGCATGGCCCTGTCTGTGCACTGATATAATAAGTGGCGACAGTAGGCCCCCCATCTAATGCCCCTGTGGTCCTGATGTGTGTGTCGTGTTGGCAGCTAAGACAGAGGGATTACGGGGATTGTGGGGAAGGAACAAGGAAAGAGCAGCTCATCATGCTAGTCAATAGCAGAGCTTTTCTCCATGTCCAAGGACACAAGCCCTCATTGTCACTGTCTCCTTGTTAGATGACAAGGGCAATGAGAGAGAGAGAGAGACAGAGAGAGAGAGACAGACAGACAGACAGACAGACAAACAGAGAGAGAGAGAGGGGGAAGAAGGAGCTGGGGTGATAATGAAGAAATCAAGCGAGATTTAGAGAAGAAAAAAAACAAAACAAAACCATATACCAGAGACGAGCGGGTGGATTTTTGTATTATAAGCATTGTGGAAATGTAATAAGTGTATTTTGTGTCTGTGGCCACTACCAGTCAGTGAACAGTTGCAAATCAACCTATATTTTATCGCCACTTCAGGGCTGTGTAAATGATACAGCAACACTCTATATGGGCTATTGATTGCATGCACTTTGCTGCTGTTCTAAATTAGAGTGGATGAGAGCTGTGCTGAATATTCAGCATCGACACAGTTAATCTGATGATGGGCAGCTCTGGCAGCGCGCAGAATTTCCCGTCCTCATCCACTGACAGGATTCACTTCATTTCGGAAGTAATATCACTGCAATGCTCAACATCTACAGCATACGTCTGGAGATAAATTATGCAGATTACAAATAAAATCCTGTCGGCAAAACTTATTTTAAACAAACAACTAATTCTGACTGTAAACATGATTATGCAACATAATTATGTTGCTCTAATCAAACAGCACCACTAATTACCATAGCACCAAATATGTGTTCACTGCTCTCTTATTTCTCCCTTTACCATTCTCTTTGACGGCCCCCGTTTTGCCACTGGCAACAACTGATTGAATCAAATCTTATTTTCTTGGCAGCTCTGTATATTGTAGGAGTACATATAAGTGAAAACAATCCTCATGTTTTCAAAATTTATTTTTAGTACACAGAGCCAGATTCATACCTCAGTGAAACACGACAAGCCATCATATCTGAACGAATTTAAGAGATATTAACTCAGATATTATGCATGAATTTCAACAATGACTAAAATAAATCCATGCATCTCTTTTTGTGACTCTTGTCTCCTCAAAATCAGATACGTTCTGATTCTAGGTGATTGTGGGAACAAGTTGTTTTTGGCCTCGACGTTCAATAATCTGTCCCTTGGTGAAGCTACTATTATAGTGGCACAAGATCTTAATTATTTATTCAAAATTATAACAACACCTTTGATCCTTCAATTGTGGTAAACAATGCATAATATGCATTCAATCCCACTGGGAGGGATAAGTTCTTCCAGTAGGAGGAGTTAAAAAAATAAAAAATAAATAAAAATCTGTGGTGTTGAAGCATGACATCATTAAGCACCATAAGAAAACTAAAACATCACATAGAAAATCTAATACATTTAATGCATCTACATTTTTACTGGATACAATTAAATTTGACGCATGCACTTTTATTAGATTCAGTATATTAATTTGACCAAATGTGATTTGCTTTAGTGTGCTAAGTACATAATTTCAGTTAGTTGTTTTGTTATTGTTTCTCATTCACTGGAGCAGATAGAAATATTGGTACAAAAACAGAAAGAGATTGAGAGACATTATTTTTTAAGGATGGCCACCAGTTACTGCAAGGTGGCGCAGTTGGTTAGCACTGTTGCCTCACAGCTAGAAGGTCACTGGTTTGCGTCCCGGTGGGGGCACCGGGATCTTTCTTGCATGTTCTTCCCGTGCAACGTGGGTTCTCTCCGGGTTCTCCGGCTTCCTCCCACACAGTCCAAAAACATGTTGAGGTTAGTTGGTGATTCTAAATTGTCCGTAGGTGTGAATGTGAGTGTGCTTGGTTGTCTGTCTCTAAGTGTAGCCCTGTGATAGATTGGTGACCTGTCCAGGGTGTCCCCTGCCTTCACCCTGAGTCAGCTGGGCTCCAGCCCCCCCTGTGACCCTCGTGAGGATTAAGCGGTGTATAGATAATGGATGGATGGATGGATGGATGGCCACCAGCTACTGTAATTTAAAAAAGGCATGTTTTTGTTCATAAACTAAAGAATCCAATAAAAAATTAAAAACTGCTACACAAAAAAAAACTTAGAAGCTTAGCTTAAAACTGGGAAGTAAAGGCATTCTTCCACATATGATTCCACTGTGATTATACATAATAACAGTCAGTATCCATTATGATCAGATTTCTGTCTAACAACCCTTAAAGCTGGGATAGGCAATATTTTTTGGGGCCTCACTGGCCAAAGATTCCCTACTAACCCTTTCGCATATTGTAATTCAAGTGGTCTGAGAGAAAATTCGACTTCTCCACCTCCTTTTTCAAACTCTGGCCTGTGTAGGGGAGTCTCTAGCCAATCAAATGGCTTTTCACTTATCAGATGTGACAGTATAAATAGCTCAAAAGTCCACAGTGAGAGCAGGATGTGGTGACACAATGGGTTAGATGGAGGACTTTCACTCAGAAGGTCAGGTTTAAATAAGGTGAAGACAAAAACGAATGATGACTTTTTAGTTAGGTATGCGCTCATGTGGTGACAGGGGCTTGGAGAAAGGCTGCATACTTTCATATTCTGATGTTTTCACCTCCCTTCTTCCAGATTTCTGCCTACTGCAGTGTTTAAAAAAAAACTACTGAAACCCAAAAGTCAGGGGGGCATGTTTGTGACTGGCTTGTGTCATAAATCCCCGAGTGTACTGCAGGTGATGTGCACACATTGATCAGGCGCTATATCCATGAAGAGTTAGAATCTTGAAATTCTAACAGAGAAAACAACATGTGTGGTTTTGCAGAGCACCTTAATGCCAGAAGGGTCGTCAACAGCACAACTTAAGCGGCATATTCTCGCTTTCAGGCTCTAGGGGCTCTAGGATGAAGTGAGTGTGTGTCGCACTCATGGCCTCTGGTGTGTCTGAGATGGAGATTATAAATACTCTTCTATCTATACCTTGCTGGAAAACAGAATGCCGTGTAACCCATAGGTCCAATCGACCAACAAGGGCCAGGCAGAAATTTTCCTTCCCAGGTCTGTTCTTTCAATAATTCATGAAATGTGTTTGCTGTTCTTCCTTGACCCTGCACAACACAATACATCTTCCACAGCATGGTTCCCCTCCCATGCATACAAGTTTGCCAGTCCAATGAGGGAGCAATAAGTATTTCCAACTGCTCAGTTGCACCAGTGATCTCACACAGAGAGTGTCATTGCTATATCTCATTTGAATTTTACAAACACTACAACGCCTGGGCTTTAAGCAGCAAATGTGTTTATTAGCCATCTGTTACACTGTGTGCCAGGATGTGGGGGGAAATGGCTTCAAGAAGTTATAGGTTACAGATTGTGAGACTTCTGCTCTGTGGTACACATGTATTCCCATATTGATAGGTGACCTCCAAAATCTGGTGCAATGAATTTAATGACTGTGCCGCACTAGTGTAAGTAAAGATACTGAGGAAATGTGACTGTGATTCAGCAAGAAGGTGGAAAGAGTGGCTCTGCTGGTACATCATTTTCAGCATCATCAGCATGATTATGATAATTTCTCATATTGTGAAGGAATTAGCAAGCTTTAGAAATATCAAATGGGCTCAGAAGTGGATGGATCCACCCACACACACAGACACACACACAAACAATCATTTTAATCTCTTAGATGCTCTATCTTGCTACTTTGCAAACCCGGTCTGTGTCTTTTGGTCTTATTAGAAAGTCACTCAATTGACAAGGAGGACTGTTAGCTCACCCCGGCCCATCTGCTGTGCTTTGATAACTCATTAATGAAAAAATCCTCATCCCCATGCTCCTGGTCAGGATTACATATACAGACCCTGCGATTGCATTTCACTCATACTCAATTTCAGAATATGGCAGCAGCATTAAATTAACAAATTGTTGGACTCCTCGAATACTGACTCCATGTACTGAAATCAAATAATATTTCATTGGCCACAGAAAAAAAAAGAGAGAATGGGACGAGAGTGAGGCAGAGAAAGAGAATGAAACAGAAGGAAAATAGAGTTAATGGATTCTCTTATCAGTTACATTCAGTTCTGTGAGGACTGTCTGTCAATGCATTTACTCAAATGCCTTATGTCGGTCGGGTGCATTAAGCCCTAGCTTTTTAGTAAAAGCAATTTAGGGTGACTGTATTGCAATGGAATTCTTTAATACTGCAAATGCTTTGTGCTGTGAATGCATTACACAGAGCAATGCACCGTAGACGGAAGTTAGCAAAGATGTTTTGTCTGAGTCAAACAACTCAATGTCTCAATATTGAAATAAAAGTCTGAGGCTCACCAGGCACATGAAGAAGTTAAATTCCATTAAATTATTAACTGACAAGAAGTCATAGTGTTCATTTGATTTGCCATTTGGAACAAATCAGCAATGGTTGATGTAGGTCGACTTTTTCAAAGATAAATAACTAGCAGACATCTTCCCACAAATTCCTTCACTGACAAGAAAAGCTAAGGAGGAGGCTTTCATTATGCTGCAAAGGAGCTAGCCCAGTTATTTTCACAGGGTAAGAAAATAAAAACAACATTCAAGTAGAATCAACCATTGATTCCTTGTGCTCTGCAAGCAGATGGGATTAGCCTTTCTGTCAGCAGAGCTGAAGAGCCAAAAACTATAAATAATATCTGAAGAATATGGTGATTAAAGGATTGTTTTTATATGAATATATTAACTTATAACCATCCCCCTCCCCCCAATTTCACATCGCTATATCCCACTCACTTCCCTCCCCTTAACCGTAGCAGGAAAGTTTAAATCAGTAATAAAATATTCATATGCAGCTATTTGCTTGAGAGAATAATTTATTTTCTAGGGTGGATGCCTCTTTTAGAGATATGCAACTCTGGAATTCTTGAGGGAGCGTTGTGTTGTGTGCTCGAGCACTTTGATCAGTGGGAATGAAAAGTTGGGTTTCAGATGGGGATCAGAGTAAAGAGAGGCGAAGGATTCAGACAAGGGGACCTTGCCATTCACGTTAATGGATTGTGAAGACTGAGAGTGTGCCGTCTGGACACCATGTCATCATCCTGACACCGGGAGCTTTTGGGGCGGTGCCAGAAGGGATGGATAGACTGTACAAGGTAGAAAAGCAAAGACACTTGAATAAATGTTTAAAAGACTACTCAGCAAAATGGGAACTCCTCCTCTGCTCTGAGGAGATGTGATGTTTACCTTACCATAAATATTACCTCTATAACAACTAATCTTCTTTGCTCTTTATTCACTGCTGCACGGAGGAGAGGGATTTTTTAATTTTCCTTTAATCCTAATTAAACTCCTATTTCACATTTACCTCAGTAGACAACCTTCCCCACTAATATATGCTCTTCCACCAGTGCTGTACCAGCGTAGATAGAAATGTCTACATAACCAACACAGTTAATTGTGTTATGGTGTTTGGTTTATACATGGACTACATTTTAAGAATACTTTCTTTTTTTTTTCTAAAGTGCTTCATGATTCTAATTTGAGTACAATGTTACACTTTTACTGAAACAATTCTATACTCTCAGGTGCAAAGTGAGATGCAACTTCACAACTTAAAAAGTTTTCTTGGGATTCAATACCCATAAAAAAAATCCAACAGGATGTACAGTGCCCTGCTGTGACAGCACATGCACATGCACACACATAAGCAGCTTCAAGTTAATGAAACTGTGTTTAACAGGTTAAGAAGCTTGCATGAGCCTCTTTTATCAGTAAGACCCCAATGGACTCTCTATTTCTTAACAAACCTTCTTTTAAATAATATATTCTAATCTGTTTCATAACTTTGTCTTTTTTCTTCCAGCTCCCAATTCAGTAGAAGAAGTTTCTTAATCAGTATGGGTAGGAAGAAAAAGTTGTCACGTATCCCCACAAAAAGGCATATAATGTTATTCAGGTATGAGCATCTGTGACTCAGTTAAATGCCATTACGTGCTGTTTCCCAGTTGGATACAGAAAAGTACATACCATGTCAAGCTTCTATTCATATAACCACTATCATAATTTACACATTTCTATACTTCTGCACTCATGCGATGCGTGCTAAAAAATAAAGTCTCATTTGTGAAATGATGTGAATTCATTTGCATATAATAAAACATTCAGATTTACAACAATGGCGGTTAAATGAAATATAGTATGAGGAAGCAGAAGGCAGTTTTTATATTCCTCTGCACACAAAGTGCTTCTGCGCTCCATAGGTGACAGAATAGGAACCCATATTCATAACCTTCCAGACTAATATGGCATTGAAGGGCAATGAAAAGAAAATTTTCCGTGACAAAAAGAGGTTATGCTTCTGATAAAAGGGAAAAAAAAATGGCAGGCATAGTGACCTACTAAAAGCTGACATATGGGAGGAAATCGCACAGCAGGTAAGCGCAGTTACATTCTTGCTGAGAGTGTGTAAGAACTTAAAAGAAAAACTGAGGCATGTCAGGGGCCAACCACAGGGAAAAAAAAGAGACTACAGTAACTAAGTGGCCAGAAAATGCGGTGCACTCTGTCAAACCCAAAACTTTTTGGCTGTTTTAGGTGAGGAAAGTAAAGTGAAGTGATTGGCTCAAAAGTAGAGATCTTGATGGATTATCAGATGACTGGGAGGGAAATGTTTCTACCCTTGTTGCTCACTTCTAGATTAAAGTTGTACAATGTCTGCTGTGGCTCCGAAAGAGATCCGTCAAGTCTCAGAAAATAACCCAAGCAATGTCACACTGATGTCTCTGGGGTTAAGTCGATTTGAAAACAGGGGAGGGGGGGAAAATTAAAAGAGGAAGCTTGAGTTCGGCACTTAGAGAGCGGAGTTTGAAAGACGTACACATTTGCTAGACAGGGAGCGTTGAGATGCTGTTGAGGTGCATTATGGCAAATTTGCTTTTGAAACTGCTTTTTATCTTTTCCTTATAAGAGCCACAATTTTAAGGAACTGCAGTTGTACATAATTCGTGTCGCCTTTTAACATGCAATTTCCTCTGCGAAAGTATAACACTGTATTTTCTGTACAAGTTGTCACCATCTGTCAGGACCTACTGAAAGTTTGATGAAAATGCGTGCATGTGTAACACAAAAACTCTGTCCGCGGTCCATTGACAACCCAATGTGTGCAAGCAAGTGTGTGCAAAAGCATGTGCATGTGTGGGTGGTGGCTTCTGTTAGTCACTGTGTATGTCTACTTAGAAGGAACAGCAAACATGAGACTGTATGTATACATGCACACTAACTGTGATCTTTACACTCACCATGAAGAGGATGCGGAAGTTGGCCAGGTCTCCGAAGAAATCCTCCACACTGACTGAATGGGGGTCAAAGGCAAAGTAACTGCCTATGCTCTCGTAGAGCTTCTGCATGTTCTTGTGCATGGTGGACAGCTTTTCATACTGCTCCCGGGCATGCTTGCAGAAGCCGTGAGGAGGACAGAGTCAAGGAAAACAAAGGAGAGAGACATATCTCAAGCACAGACAAAACATTTTTAAAAGCAACTATAATCAGCAATATAACCTCACATCTCACAAATGTGTTGATCTCTGAAAAAAAACAAGCCATTGTGAAAAAATGATCCCTTTCACAAGCTTTATAGTATTCAAAAAGCTCACCTATGTCAAGGTCAACAAAAGAAAACACTGGATAAAGAAGGGTCAGAGACAATCTAATGTGCCATTACAATAACCTCTCCATCTCACTTTCGAGTCAATGGCATGGTGAGCTAATAGCTGCAGCCCTGGAGTAATGGAAAGGTGTTTTGTAGTCAGCAGCATGACACAGATGGTAGCTGGAAAAGCTGATTGCAGTCATTGTTCTATTGTTTCTCACAACAACAGTGGGGTCAGGTTGTTTTGAACCTCACAGCTCACGTCGCACTGTGTAATTTACTGAACAGGCGGAGCACTTTTCTCCTGGTGAATGACTATTGACAGCCGGCATCAGTTAAGCATTATCACAGCAGCCATTGACCTCATAGAGACTGCACTTGGACACTCCAAGACTCACACACCCTGGGTTGGATGAGGACGCCACAACACACACACACACATATACACACACACACACATATATACATGCCAACGTGTATAGACAAGCACGCTAGCAAACAGACAAGCATACAAAATAAATAAATAAATAAATAAAAAATACACTGCCTACGGTATATACTCCAAAGCCATTAGTTTCAATACATCAGCAGTGTTGCTGAACACCTGCTGTGCCTTCAATCATTTTTATCTTCCCTCTTAAGCGGATTTAGCTATTGTAGCTGTAACATCTGCACTAGCACAAAGATAAACATTAAGAAGTGGAAGAAGAAAGAAAGAAAAAAAAAAAGAACTTTGGCTGTATTATCATATATCTCCCTATCTCTAGTAGTAAGTCCAATAGGGCAACGGACCTGAGCGGTCAGATAGGTTAAAAACAAGCCAAAAGTTTGCGGAGAAATCTTTGCACATCAGCCTACAGAGGCTCAACCGGTGTCTTGATAAACAGAGCAACAGAAACAGATACCAGAAAAAATGGAATTTGGAGCAGATGCAAACGATTTCCCCATCGCCTCAGGGAGAAGACATTGTAAACAAACTTTTACACGGAGACAGCTACAGTAAACACTATTGAACCACATGGATTAAAGGCGACATATGAAAAACGCACTTTTCAGTGCCTGCACACATACATTTACGTCTCTGATGTGCTTACCAACCCACAAACTGTGGAATAAGACAACCCAGTCGGTATTTTTTTATGGGCTGTCTAGATTGGAAAGCATGTGATTCAGCCTCCCTCCTGCAGGCTCATTAGAATGACACCACCCATATGTGAGTGTCTCCACCCATGGCTTGAGAAGTACCTCTGCAGGAGTGCACTTTTTTTTTGTTCTTCTTGCAAGTGCCTAGCATCATGCTGAAGCTAGGTACTGAGCACAGGAACTGCTCTGTTGTTGGCTGCAAAAACCAGGAAAAAAAAAAATTACCGCATTAGACCCCAACCTCAAAGAACAGAAGAGCTGAGTGGACAAAATGTACTTGTGATGGAAATGTGCCAGCTACAGTTAGTAAAAACCCATATCTGTGTTATAAGCATTTTCTGTCTGACTGCTTACCAGCTTGGGTCAATACAAGTCAGAACAGGCAACAGAACCTTACAAATGTCCATGACAAAAGTACAGCAGAGAGAAATGCAAGTATTAAAAATGAATGAATGAATGAATGAATGTTTCATTTGTTTCTTTTGTCATTTAGCAGTAGTTGTGGC